TGCTGGGACTCTTCCTGCCACATTGAGGAAGGGGGCTGGGCACGACATGGCATCATACTCAGGAGCCTTCTTCACCAGCTCCTTGGGACAATGGAATATCCCAGGGTGGTGACAGCAGATGGAGCTACTTGGGGGAGAGCTCAAGTGGGGCAGGCAGCAGCTGGGGTGATGGCCTGTGAGCCACAGCCACTCAGGAACTTTCCCCACTGCCTCCATGCAAGGCTGCAGAGCCATGGTCCCTTAGTCCACTGCACTGGAGCTCTGAAGACCTAAGAGGCTAGTGGTTCCTGGAGCTAGTGGTTACCTGAACAGGTATGGAGATGAGCTGCGTCATCTGAGTCACCAGAGTTGGGCTGGCAGAAGGGTGAAGGGCTCACCCCATTCCCTGACCCATCCCTGCTCTTCCCGGCCTTTTAGCCCTGGGTTCCTCATGCCTTCCAGCTCTGCTTCTGGCCTGCTCCTCAGCCCACACCTTGTGGGTCAGCAGCTGGCTTCCTTCTAACATCTCATTCTTTGTTTCTCCCTGTCTTTTGCTGAACTCCCTGTCCTCTCCCCCAGAAGGCAATGTTGAGCCGAAAGCGTGCGTCCCAGTGTCTCACACCTGTGCTCTTTAAACACAGAGACCTGCCAAGACGCCCTCTCGTCCAACTATGCCCAGGCTGAAGTCCTCACCCTCTCTTAAAGCGGCACCAACGTGAGAGAGACAGGCAGACAGACAGAAAGCCAGAGGCTTAGGGAAACTCTGGAACCCAGACAAGAATCTTTTCACTGGGGAAGACTCAGATATCCTTGTTTGCACAGGACTGGTGGAAAACCTCCCATGTGACCCTCGGAGCCCAGAGCCATCTGGGCCTGATGTTGTTCTACTGTACATTGAAGAGATATATATGCACATATAGTATCTATATTCATACATACTATACTCTTGTGTGTAGTGCACGTGCTGTTGGTGGTTTGTCTTCATCGTTAGGCTGTGTCTCCCCAAGCCCTTGCCCCACCTGGAGTTTCCCATCCCCTTCACTGATTTCTGTTGTTTCTGCTGACTGTGTGGGTGGAATGGCCCAAGAAAAGTGCATCTGGGAATTGCTAGTCCAGCTGCGTGATCCCAGGCTCCTGTCTTGGGGGTGTTTTCCCTGTCAGTAAGTAACCTGGTGAAGTCTATTGAAGGCCAGAGACTGCCCCCCAGGATCACTGCCTCACTAGCCCCACCCCACCCCAGACTGGGGTTCTACCTCCCACCCCACACCCTCGTTGGCGGGGGACTTCCAGGGGCTCTCTGCAGCCTCCTCCCCGCCTTCCTGCACCCCAACTATGTCCTTGACTGGGGGGGGCATTTTGTCTTTTTTATTTCTGACTTTGTTCTGTCTCCTTCGTCTGTTTGTTTTTAACGATGCTGCTGGGCAGACGGGCAGGGAAAGGCTCTGTCTGCCCATCTGGCTCAGGGGTCTGAGAAGGGAAGCCTTGGGCGAGAGGAGACCAGTTGCAATACTGTACTTCCTGGCCAGTGGCCAGAGGATGCGTGCAATAGCAGAGGCCAGGTGAGCCCTTCAGCTTGGCCTCTGCCCCTCCCTCGGCCCTTCCTCCCTGCTCCTCCCTGGTGTTGGTCAGTCCTTTTCTAAAGCTGTCCACTCGTGTGTGTCTGGGGTATGCCCAGGCCGGGCCCTGTGCCCCGTCCGCCTGCCTCCAACTGTCATGCTGTGCTTGAGCCCCAATAAAGACATCTGGAGCATCCTGCTGCTCCTGCCGTGTGAGCACCTGCCTCTGCCTCTCCTTTCTGGCTCTGTGTCTGTCGGGACCTCCTGGGGCTCTATCTCCTGACACCTGAGGAGTGCACACACTCAGCATAACCCCACTCCAGCAGGAACCATCAGTGCGGCCCAACCCCTGCATTTTACGGTGGGAGACTAGTGCTCAGAGGGGACAAGTCATCTGCCCAAAGCCACACAAAGAGGCCTAACCCAGGACCCTGAGTCCCAGACAGTGTTATCTCCAGTGCTGTCCCCAAGCTTGGGGACAGTGGTATCATCTCCACTGCTGCCGTAGCATGGAAGAAAAGACTGTTCTTTGTTTAAGGAATTCCACTGTATTCCATGTGTGCAGGGGGCCTCCCCTCCTCCCTGCAATTGTACCAGTTCTAAATGGGCCAAGGCCCTGGGGATGCCAAAGTCGTTGCAATGACTGTATGGCTGACAAACTGAGGCCGACTAGGGACTGGTAGCACAACTAGGGACCACTTAGGGATGGGGAGTGAACACATCCTGGGCTTGGATAGGACGGGAAAATGACCAGTGAGACAAGGCCCTTGGCTCTCACTGTGGTTATCCCTCTCACTGTCGCATGGGGGCACATGCAGGGCCAGCCTTATGGGTGTGCAACCTGCACAGCCACTTAGAAGGGCCCCACGCTGGGTCTAGTGTTGAGCTGTCACCATCATGAAATTAATCATGGTTGAAGGAGGGGCCCTGTGTTTCCATCTTGCATGGGGCTGTGGTGCGTCTGGTGGCCTGCTCACCTCTCCTCGTTCTTGTCTTACTCCTCGCTCTTACTCTGGGCATCCACGTGGGACCGCAGGGGCCTCAATTCAAAGTCTTGCTTTGCTGCTTGCCGGCTGGGTAAGTTGGGGGTGACTGACTGAACCTGTTTCCCTGTTTGTTACAGGATAATGATGGCCCCTGTTTCAGAGACAGTGAGAGTGAAGAGCCTGGCCCTGCGTCACGTGTCTACCTGTGACATGACATACCGTAGTGGCACAGTGTCAGCTCCCTCCCTGCCCTGTTCGTGGCACTCTCAGGCTTTTCTCCACAGATTTCTGAGATCTCTGTGTCTAGCTGCTCCAAGAAAGGACAAGAACACACCCGGGAGCTGTCTGGGGCAGTGTAGGACAGCAGGGTGAGGACAGCATGGCCGAGGAGAGGGAAGAAGCCAGGGGTAGCCTATTCCTGAAGTGTAAGGGAAGATCGGGCTTGGAGCCTGGGCCAGCTGAGGCAAGGGGGTGGCAGGCAGCCAGTGTCAATTAAAGATAAAATCTCTCCTCCGGTAGTGGAGGGCAAACAGCGGCTGTGGCCCCCTAGACAGGAGAAAGCCATTTGCAGCCAGGCTGGCCTCGGAAAAGCTTGGCCAGGCGATAATGGGACGGGATGCACTGCTGACTCCATAACGATATTACGCATCAGGGCCCACGGCCAAAGTGGCTGTTTTTTCTGTAGATCGATGTGGAACCATTTCATGGTCAGGGGCTGAGAACCCAGCCATCGGCAGGGGTACCAGATGCCAGAGTGGTCCTGAGGGGACTTAAGGGGTGGCAGCTGGGGTCCCCAGTGACCCTTTCAGGCTGCTGGAAGAGGAGGGAGCAGTGTGCAGGAGTGCAGAGGGGTGGGCGAGAGAAGCAGCAGGTCACTCCTCCTCCCCACCTGACAGAAACAGCAGGCTGCCGTGTCGTCAAGCAAGAAAGGGCTCTGGCTTCCTCCTGTCTGCCGAAGCTGGAGTCGAGCCCAAAGTAGGGAGCTGGTGAAAAGGACAGGACATTGTTTAAAAGAACAAGACAGACTTTTAGAGGCAGGCAGACTCAGGTTTGGGTCCTGACTCTGTCACTTCCTTGTGGTGTGACCCTGGGCAGGTTACTCAACCTGTCTGAACCTCTATTTCCTCATCTTTTAAATGGGAGCACAGTAGCATCCACCTCATTGAGCTATGAGGAGAAATGAGTTGGTGCCCAAAAGCCTTGAGCACAGTGCCTAGCACATAGCCATTGCTAGAGGGAGAGGGGAGGATTTGGGGGCAACTCACTCCAGGAACAGATGACCAGTTTGGTTTGATGTCCTCACTTTTCAGTGAATCAACCTCATTTCAGTGAAGTCCTTATCTCCTTATGAAGGAGTAAGAGTGGGGACGATTATACCAAACAGCGAGCATTTATTGAGTGCTAGGCGGTACATTTCATGCTTATAAAGATGCATGCCAAGATTGATGTTATCATTACCTTTGTTTTACAGAGGAGAAAACCAGCACAGCAATGTCAGGCCATTTCTCCAAAGTCACACAGCCACTAAGTAGCAAAGCTGGGATTCGAACTCAAACAGTCTGGCTCTGTGCGGCCAATGCTTACCCACTCTCTGAACTGAATGGGGCTTGTGAGTTATAACCCCCAGTGTAGGAGTTTGTGCTTTTAATGTTATTTCCTTAACTGCAATTGATTCTCGTAGCAAAGATACTGTTTTCCCCTTTTATAGATAAGAAAACCAAGGCTTGGGGAAGTGAGTCATCCAACTCTGTCTCCCTTTTATGTGTGTGTACCCCACTCCACATACACATACAGTGGGGAGGGATGTCCTCTCGGGATTCATTCATTAATTAGCAGGAGATAACACCCAGCTCAGTGACTGCTTCCTTCCCTCTGCGATGCCACTGGAATTTTATTCTCTGACACATGCAAGTGGGTAAGTGGGGTAGGACTGCTCTGGAACCCAAGTTACATGAGGAGCCGCCGCTCAAGCTGGAGACGTCTTGGAAACCTGATCTCAACTACCTGTTGTGTAAAGGGTGCCTGTGGGAAAGTGGGTTTAGATTATTCTCTGATTGCAGATCTGGAACTAATAGGTGCCATGTTAGGGAGGTAGGTTGGGCTTAAATTTTTAAAATCATTTTTTAAATGAAATTTTTTTTGGTAATTTTTGTGGGTACATAGTAGGTATATATATAGGAAACTTATTTTCTGTTGTTTCCCTTGCTATTATAAATTTAATACTGCCAGGCATGGTGGCTCATGCTGTAATCGTAACACTTTGTGAAGCTGAGGAAAGTGGATTGCTTGAGCTCAGAAGTTGGATACCAGCCTGGACAACATAGTGAGAAGACCCCATCTCTACAAAAAGAAAAAGAAAAAATTAGCCAGGTGTGACGGCATGTGCCTGTAGTCCCAGCTTCTCTGGAGGATGAAGCAGAAGGATCTTCTGAGCTCAGGCGGTTGAGGCTGCAGTGAGCTATGATCACACTACTGCACTCCGGCCTGCGTGACAGAGGGAGACCCTGTCTCAAAGAAACAAACGTTATTTAATACAAGGTATTAGAAACCATCCCCATACCAAATCAACAGGGAATCCCCTGTCACCCTTCCTCAGTCCCACTTTCCTCCACAGAGGTGACACTGTTAACATCTGGTGTGGGTCCTCCCAGGCTTTCAGAAAAAAAAAGCTTTCTAACACAATTACCAAACAGAAATAGGCTTCCCTGCGGGGTAGTGAAGTTCCCTTCCCTGAAAATGTTTGGAGACACAGTGGATGATCATGTGCTGCACCAGGGTTTGTGGGAAGGATTTCTGCTCGGCGTGGGAGGTGGAATTAGAAGACTGTTTCCAATCCTAAGACTTTCTGACTCACGTGGCACACACAGCTAGTTAGTGGGGGAGGCAGGTCGGGAACACAGGTATTCCAAACGGAGTTCAACTAAACTCCTTTCCTTTCCTAGCAAGATTTTCTTCAAATTCTTCTCTGCCTCTTCCCAGCCCATCAGTGGTGTAGGACAGGGCAGAGAGACATCTGTGACTCCTCTAGCCTGGAACGAGGGGTTGTCCTGGACCTGGGTTGTGATGCCATCCAGTGCCCACCCTCGTAGGGTCCCTGTGGCATTCATTATTGCAGTGACCATCTTTCTTTCCTTACCTGGCACCAAGCCCTGTGTGCACACACTGGCACACACGCAAGAGGTGGTACATGAGCTGGCTCAGTCACTTGGGGCCCTGGTAACCACATTCAAAATGCAAAATCACACTGAAAGGCTGCCGGGGATGCTGGGGACCAGGCTCTCTCCCAGACAGCTTCAGCTGGGCCTGGCCCAGCTTTAGGGCCTGATGAGACGGAACCAAATGGCTGCAGCTGCCAGTCAAAGGGGTCAGAGGCCTTCTGATGTTGGTGCTGGAAGCCTCTCCCTTCTTTCCCCACAGGGTTACGGGGGCTCCTCCACTCCCCCCTCTTATTTACCTGCTTCTCCAGGGTCCCTGGAAGAGCAGGGTTAGCAAGCATATACTATAAACATTCAAATCAAGTCTACCAGAAATGGGGGCTGCCACTTTCAGCTGAGTTAGGGTCTTGGCTTCTGAAATTGGCAAGCTCTGGTTGCTGGTGGGAACTAGGGGTTGCTCCTTTTCTCTCTCCACATACTCTGCTGGGTGACTTCATTCCCTCCCATTGCCTTAAACCTCTTCCAGTTACTGGTGACATCCACATTTATAGTCCCAGTCCAGAAATCCCCTCTCAGGTCCATTCATTCATTTGTTCATTCATTCAGCCACCACATGTGGCGTCTCTGTCTGAGGTACTGCTCTATACGCTGGGTATACAACAGGGACCCAAGTAGACACCCCCTCCTCATGCTCTCCCTGCTCACTAATGTGCCTGTGTGGCTGTCCCTAGGTGTCTTCACAGCGCCCTGATGCTGAGCTGTGATTCCACCCTTTTGTCTCCCAGGTCACCCTCTCAGTGTGCGGCCAGCATCCACCTTGAAGCTGAAACAGATGTCAAAACCGTCCTCCCGTTCCTTAATTCACTCACTCATTTTTCGTGCATCAGATCTTTAGTAAACACCCATACTCTGTCATTGGGGAAACAGTGGTGAGCAAGACCAACAGGATCCCTGCCCTCATGGGACTTAAACATTCTAATCAGGGAGAGAGGACAGAAGACCAACAGACAAAAATAATCTCCCACGCATATTCCAACCCATTACCAAGTTCCACATTTCTAGCTCTGAAATACATGTTAGGGATTTCCCGCTTCCTGCTCTTCACCCCACTCCGGCAGCTGGACTCCTGCAGGAGCCTCCTCCCAGGTCTCCCCCGGTCCCATCTGCCCTTCTGCCACCAATCTCCACCCAGCCACCAGAGAGAGACCGTCTTGCAATGGAAACGATCAGATTCATGTCATCCCTGCTTAGAACCCTTTCAATGGCTGGGTTCCCACTGAGTGTACAATCCAGACTCCTTAGGGGGGCCTGCGAGGCCCTGCTGCTCCTGAGGCCCTTCTTGCCTCTGCAGATCCATTCATGCCTCTGCTCTCAGCCCCTGGGACCAGCAGCTCACCTTCCTGTCAGTTTCCCACACATCCCCCGGCCCTCTCACCTTCACTGTTTTTGCACCTGCTGTTCCCTCACAGGGACTGCTTTAACCCAGCCCAGCCCCACCCAACCACCTTCTCGTAGCTGAGAAGGCCTGGCTGTACATGTCACTTTCTTGGTGAGGCGTTTTCCCCCTCACACATCCATGCCCCTCTGCCTCTGTCAGTTTCCATCACTGCAACCAGTGCATTTTCTTGAAGGGACTTGCAGTCCTCTGTAACTATCAGTTGTGAGTTCCTGCTTCCTGTAAGTTGCTAGGCCTGTAGGGGCTCAGTAAATATGAACAAATGAATGAATGGGCAGGAGATAGGCCTGGCACGAGCAGCTGCTGAACTCCATCCTCTCTTAAGCCTCGCAGCCTCTGTCTCCAGCTGGCTTTTGCACCTCACTTCTAGGGCATTCCTGGGAGTCCTTGGGGAATAACGTGAAAGCTCTTCTTTTTCCATTATGCATTTCCTGCCTGAGAAACTGTCGGAATAATGAGGAAGCCTTAGAGAGTTCCCATAGCTCTTCCCCTCTCTTCCTTTTAGAACCTACCATTTTCTACCTGGTACTTGGTACTTGTCAAATTCCCCCTCCGGCAGCAGTGAGCTGCTCAGAGGAGCTGGTTCCTCCCAGCTCCCCCTCGAGGGCCTAGCCTGGTGCTACATGCAGAGTAGGCACGAAGAGAAATGTGGAAATGAATGAAGAAGGTGCTGGGAAAGGAAGAGAGTAAGAAGGCAGAGGGAGAAAATAGGAAAGAGGAAGAGGAGGGAGGGGCAAAGGGGGCGATGAAGAGTGAAGAAGAGAAAGGAGGGAAGTGAGGTCGGGAAGTGGGAAAGAGGAACAGAGAAGGTGGCCCTGCATCCACCTGGAGTCAGCACCCCCACTCCACCCCCCCAGTCCCCTGGAGTCAGCACCCCA